GAATTCATCTTTTGCCTTTGGTTCTTATCCGTTGTATTCTTCTGTCCATTCTCAGTTTACTTCTCGTCTTCTTCATTCTTCATCTGCTTCTTTTCATTTCTTATTCTCCTCTGTTGGCGTCTCCTTTTTTTACTCATTCATCCTCGTCGTTTTTGTCTTCTCATTCTCCTTACTTTTTTACTTTTTCGTTCAGTTTCTTCTTGGTATTCTCCTTTTGTCGCTGTTCCTTCATCTTCCCCTCTCAGATCCCTCACTGATAATCACGGAGAAACGTCTGTTACCCACGAATCATCAAAATGGAAAAGATGAGATTTGAGGTTCTCACGGATGCGAATTAGAGGATGTCAACTGCTACCAATTACAGAGATGCGCGCGACATGTCAGAAAATGAAAATATCGATGTCTGTGTTTCGATATAACAGCTATGTCGATATTGGAATTCGAAATTTTCATCAACATGTCGCGGTCATCTGTGCATCAGCTGCTTCCTTCCACATTCTTACCCCGGCGCATCTCACAGTGTTCTCATTTGACGTCTACACCTTTCATAATGAAAGACATCGATACAGGTAACGAGATGACGTCTAATGAAATATATCGATACAGGTATCGAGATGACACAAAACAGTGACATTGTCTTGCTCTTTCATTTTTATACTTTTTCATTTTCCCTTTTTTTAATTTTTGCTTTATGTCATTCCTATTTTCGTTCTTCTTTGCCTGCTTCCTCTTTTCTTTCTGTATTTTGTTCTTAGTTTCCACTTTCATTCTCCTTCCGTATTGCTCTATTTCTTTCAGATTTCTCTGCATTGGAACCGTAGTATTCTTACAGACATGAATTATGATTATTTTAAATAGAGATGAATTGCCTCTGGCTGTCAGCTAAATTGGCTGTTGGGGGAGAGTAGACATGAAACCTCTCGCAGGGGCCTATTAGACTTGCCACCAGCGCAAACTGCCTCTGATTCATCAGCTCCATTCAGTGACTCCTAATTGTAACACGAGATGCACTTGCCGCGTTAAACGGAGGCGGGCCGCTAAGAATGAACACTGGATCCAGTGGCGGATGGTGATGGATTATGCAGAACAGTTTCATGCTGTTCTGTTTCAACTACGACGTTGCGGTGACTGTTCTCTGCATCTTACATTGCACTTAGTTTGCAAACACGTCTGACGTGCTTATTTACAAACAAAATTAAACGTCTTCTTTTAATGTTGAAGGAAAAGTACGCCATAGTCACTCACTTGAACATTTCCAACTAAAAGTCGTGTACATTAGCAAATAAAGATGGCTGTCTTCTGCGAAGTCGGTCTGTGTAGTTTGGTAGAAGTTTACCGACGTTTCAGAGGTCCTTGCTGCCTCCATCATCGTTTCTGAAAACGCGGGATAATTTATACTAGACCACAAGGCGTACAACCCAGAAGACAGACGTCTACATTTTTATCCTCGTCATCACTGCCAGTAAGATGATCATTTAAAACTCAATGGTAACTATATGTACCATTTGCTTACACGGTATGTAAAACTGCTGTTTGTACTTACGTTTTTTTTTAGATTCTTAGAGTAATCATCGACTATTTCTTGAAACATCACTAAACAGTTGATCTTTGTAATGGAAAAGTGTTGTGCTTTCTTTGAGGTACGGACTGAATTTTTATATATTATTAAGATTAATTTTTGGTTCAAAGGGTTAAGAATGCGTCTAAGATTTACGCGTAGGCCTTTATGACGCGATGCTCAGACCCAGAGCCAACTTTAATTTTATGACATTTCCGTATTTGCTTCAGTTTTGAAGGATTGTACAATTTGTTTGTAGTGAATGAAACTAAATCCCACTGGCGCCTTGCCGCCTCGTTGTTGAAAGTCTTAATGCCGTGTGGACTGGCTTTCAGAACACTGTTTGCACTAGTCCGTGGCTGCACCCCGATGTGCAAACAGAAGCTGCGTGCTGCTTCATTGAAACGGATATAACAAATTGACGGAGCACGTTACACCCATTTGGAAAAACCTCTGATAGCTTATAAGGCTCGGAACCACAACATTGTGACTAGGCCTACTTGTTTCCTTCCAGTCAATATTTGAAAAGCTTTTCTTATTTCCTTTGCTTTATCAGTGTGTGTTCTGATGGGACGTTGCGTTATTCTGCTTTGCATCACTTCAGCACATGAAACACACCGACTTTCAACCTTCGGGATTTTTGTTACGCTTGTGTGCGGAAACAGTTCTCGCCTCTCTCTTCCTCTGCCTGTAAAGAATATGTGACAGACCTGTTCCGGCTACTCACAACATTTACGAGAGCTGCCAATATCACTTCTTCCAGTATCTCTTTGAAGTTTTTGTTGATAACTTTCCTCTAGATATTCTGTCGGTCTAGATATTAGGAAGATGGCTGTCTTCTGGGTTGTATAGTCGGCGCAGTAGATTTTGGCCGGTGGAGAAGCTAGCGGTGCTGGCGGACGGGCCTACTCTGTGTATCTGAGGTGGCACGGTCAGTGTATTTCTTTTGTTTGGGCGTTCAGTCCGATAAGCTCCTCGGTGCAGTCAGCATTATATCATCGCACAAATGACTCGCTCCTAGCCTTCCCCTTGAAAATTCCACCGGCCAAAAACTACTGCGCCGACTATAGCTACAACACAACCTACAGCCTACGACTCCACAGCTCAGAAGACAGCCATCTTTGTACTCACCTTAAATCATCTTGTCTAGATATTCTTTGCACTTCTATGTCAAATTACATTAATTAACGAGGTTTTGGTGACGTGATTAAAAACTATTTGAAAAACAAACTAACTTATCAAGTTTTGCCTGCGGGGTAGTGAATATCATTTCACAAGTCCATTTTAATTTTGTTACTCATAATGATATTGTTTATCGATAATTCGATTGGAATTTTTAAATTTACCAAGTAATTAATACATATATCGGCACGTATGATAACATTAAGTATTTGAGAAATAGGCTTGTATCCAATAATACTGTCCAAACTGTTTCAGAGGAATGTAACAGCAAGTCATTTAAAACCATGCAGTACAGCTTACTTCATTTATTGTCATATATTTTATGTAATAAGTATTTAAATAAACATGTATTTGTCGATAATTTCTATATTCGGGAGAGAAATATATGCGAATATCAGTGTCACGCGACTTGCCACTTATTGTTCTCTCTCTCTGTCTTCTTGGCTTCGGCTTCAAAGGGTCGATAGTTCTTATTCTCTGTTCGGTTCGTCGTTGTCGCATCCTCATTAACCAGGTAACCGGTCTCCGTAGTAACTGGGCAGAATGAAAGGAGGACGCTGCTCCATTGAGTAAAACCTGTCTTAGGTGCAATGAGACGTTGGTTTACCGCGGTGTGGGTGGTCGCCTACACACTCTTTTGCCGAAGACAAGTGTAAAAGTCGTACATGTTTATGAGAAAAAATACAATTCCACGTAGAAAGGAGGCAATCGACTGTGCAGTACCCGAGCGTAGAAGACTTTTGCTCGCTCAGACGTTTTAAAAATTAGGCCTAATTGAACATATTGTGAAGATGCGTGTCTTCTGGAGTGTTGCATCCTATAGTTTATGAGTTTAATGACGTTCCAGAGGTTCTTCCTGCCAGAGTACGCGGCGCAACAACCCAGAATACTGCCATATCCATACTTACTGTTGTGAGAACCTAAAATCTCATCTAAACATATTATATTAAAATTAAATTATTTGGTTATTCCGTCAAATCACAATGTATTTAAAATAAGATAATTAAAATAATTCTATCTTATAAACATATTATATTAACTGTAGATGTCTTTGAACCGTTTTCGAAAGGACAGTAAAGTTATATGTTTGGCATTTTTCGGCCAACTTTCTAATTTAATCGCGCAGGAAGGCTTTCAGTTCTTCACAATTTATATCAAAACTTGCCCTAGTGCCTCAGCAGCACGTATTGAAGTCGAATAGAGAAGTGGACGTATGATTTAAATTATTATTAACGTCGACATTAAATTAAAATGGTTGATCGATTTCTCTGTTATTCCGCTTTGACTTGGTGAAGAGAACCACATAACTATTGGACAGGAGTTAAAGATTTTAATATAATTAGGAACAGATTAAAACAATTGCCTTCGATATATAATGTTGGCATTGTCAGGTACATGAACTGTAAATTCGTCAGTGGAGGAGGACTTGACCGATTTTTGCGTTGGGCTGCAGATCTAAGGGACCCCCCCCCCCCTTGCTGCCTACTGATCACAAGTTTCCTGAGTTTCGTGTCTTTCCCAGATGTTGCTATAATCCTGTATGGAACGCGTCTAAGGTCCTTATTTATACCACCAGGCTGGTCTTAATCTGCAAACCAAAGTCTGCTAACTGGTATGTAAAGGTTTAGCAGCCTGTCAAACACTTTAATACTTCGGAGCTTATTCTGTAATCTGACTTTGTGGCCTCGCCGCTACACCAGTCAGGCGGAGGGGAAAAGCTTTGAGCTTTGGATTCGGCCCGTGTGTCATATAATGGATTTATTTGGTTGCTCCAGCTCCTACGCATGATGTCATGGAGATGTTTACGGAGCGTGGAGTTAAATTGACGCTCCGTCCACCTTTTCTCCCCCGGAGAAAAGAGCTCCCGCTGTCCATTACATAAAAAGTAGGGAAGGAGATGGCTATCTTCTGGTTTTTTTGCCCCGTGTAGTATTGTAGAAGTTTACCGACGTTTCAGAGGCCCTTGCTTATCTATCATCAGGGCACTTATCGCCCTGATGATGGAGGCAGCAAGGACCTTTAATACACTCGTAAACTTCTGCCAGAGTATAAGGCGAAACAACCCAGAAGACAGCCATCTTCAGA